AATTAACATCACACTCTAATTAACAGTAACTAACATCACCAACCCTAACAATAAAACACAAACCAACTCAAACCATCAGAATCTACACCTCCCATTGTAAACACTCAAAGAGACCAACAAAATTCCACCCAATAAAAACAGCTAAACAATCAAATGAATGAATGAACCCTAACTAGCCCACAGGCTAAGAAACGAGAATCAAATATCCACTACACACACGAACGTGTATTAATTAACCCTCACAGTCTGTACAAGCGAAAAAAAACAAGTAAGGATGAAGAGTTTGAGGGCTACACCACACCCGAGGTAGGAGCATCAGCAACTCAAAGCGATGCAGATCGCAACTTAAAGCCCGTTGTCAATGACGGTGGGCGATACCGTGACCGGTGACAGCTAAGCTCTCGTGTCGCTCGCCGAGAAGCCGACACTCGTCGATGCGCACGCGTCGCTCATCTCCTCGTGAATCTTCAGCTTCGGACTCCGTATCAAAGCCAGGGGACAAAGTCCCTGACAGGTTTCGCATACTGGTATGTGTGGTGCCCAGATCCCCCCCTTTGGACCACCACACATCTCCTGCTTCCTCCCATAGTCTCTCCAGGAATGCCAGCGCACACCGACCGAGACCAGGATATGGCAGAAGCATTTCAATGCTTCCTCAAGGCAGTCCCCGCCCTGCGCCCGTGAATCTTCAACTTCTGACTCCGTATCAAAGCCAGGGGACAAAGTCCCTGACAAGTTTCGCATACGGGTATGTGCGGTGCCCAGATCCTGCCCTTCGGACCACCACACCTCTCCTGCTTCCTCCCATAGTCTCTCCAGGAATGCTAGCGCACACCGACAGGGAATAGGATATGGCAGAAGCATTTCAGTGCTTCCTCAAGGCAGTCCCCGCCCTATGCCCATGCGCCTCTTCTCCACCACCGCCACCACCTCCACCACCCCAACCCTAGGCTTTGGCACCGCGCAGCACTGATCGCAGTTGCACAAACGCGATCCCCCACAGCCCAGGCGCTCGCTCCAATGAAAAAAAAATAGAGGCGCTCGCACTAACGCTAATGCTAAAGGTTAGCGCTTGCGTTATATTGTTCTCTCAAATCCTTCATCATTTTTTTTATTTTTTTTTTTTAATATCATCTGAAGATATTTGGATTCCAACTTGAGTTTGTATTTCAACACTTCAGGAGCATGGTCCCACTAGCAATGGGATAGGATAGAAAAAAGTTTGTGTGGCAGTTGAGTGACCCAAATCCTGTCGTGCAGTACTCGTGATCCCATCAAGGCCCCAAAAGATCTTGTAAATCCACAAATGACCGTAGAAGTCAGACGACAGTGTCCAAGAGACACCGATCTCGCCAGTCTGCAATCCGATTGGCTACAATCACCCCTGTCGGATCAACACCTCTCTTATATCATGCTCGGCTCCTTGCCTTGCTCCGCTCTCTGGGAGGGGAGCGAGGCCCATTATGCATAGAAGGGGAACTGAGGGTCTCCCTCCATTGCACAGTATTCTGCACGTACCTGAATCTGAATGCGAGACATTCATTCAAAATGTTTGATCAGTTTGAACGCATTTGGTCAACCACACAGCGCAGTTACTTGTAGAATTTTGTACATGGAGTGAGGCCCAAACAGAGGAGCGAGGGCCAGAGAGAGGAGCAAGGGAAGGAAGTGAACAGGATATAAGAAAGGAGCAACCGACCAGCATTAAATAAGCAAATTGAGAGAGGAGAAACTGAGCAATATATAATAAGTTGTTCGGTTCCTTGCGTTGCTCCTCTCTTAGGGACGAACAACTTATCATCCTCGCTCGGTTCAATCATTGTATATAGTTCATTTGTTCCTCTCTTTTATGCTGCTCAGCTCCTTGCGTCAGTATAGAATCCTGTGCAGTGGCGAGCGCCCCTATTTTTCCCTCCTAGACATACTCGGCCTCGCTGCCCTCCCTCCCTTGCCCTCCCAACCAATTCTTTCCCCCACCAGTGTCCCTCGACCAGTACTCTCCTTTGCTCCCATCTACCTTTCCTTTCCTCGCCAATCTGCTTGCTCACCTCCTCTCCATCCTCTTCTCGTCCCCTCTTCCCACCCAAGGTACACCTGAATTCTTCTCCGCCACTATCCCTCCATGCCTACTCCCTTTCAACCCCTTAGAATCACGCCTACATATGGATTGTCGGGTGGGGAGCGAAGCTACCATAGGATATCCTCTCTCTCTCTCTCTCTCTCTCTCTCTCTCTCTCTCTCTCTCTCTCTC